CTTCCTCACCTTGATGGTTTTCTCCTTCCTGTTAGTGCAATGGGAAGCATACATGAGCCTGATTTGTGAAGTACTGCCCATAGGATTTTACAAATCAGGAGGCTGACTGTTTTCACTCGTATATGATACCTAAGGCATTTGAATTCAGCAAAGTTACCCAGGAGCCATACTACTGTCAGTGAACGAACTGGTCTCCAGCTCTCTCCTAAGCTTAATTTTGCCCACAGATTACTAGTATGGTGGGAGTAGGGAAAGACAGTAGTGAAGGAAAATAAGAAAGAACAGAAATGGAGCACTACAGTAAGAAGAAATGACTTGGGAAAAACCCCAAAGAAATGTAGATGGGGGGTGGGGCAGGGGGGAGGCAGAGCTTCCTGTTTCATTCCCTTTATCTGGCTGGGATTTAGTGATCTTTTTTTCCATAAGCCACAATTCGACCCTTGAAGATCAAAGAGTGCTTTTTGCCAGTAACATCAGCCACCCCATCTGATTACAGCTGATGGCATTTGACAAGAGATCAATTTAGTCAACTGCCAGGAAAAGCAGTAGCTGCAAAGTAGTGTTTGAGTGATACTGTAGCCATGATGGTCCAAGAAATATGGAAAAGGAGAAGGTTTTTATGGTTGATACCTTTTATTAGACCAGCTGCATGGTTGGGATAGACTTAGACATTGGCGATGTGTAGGAGGTACACATGCATTCCCTGACCTTGGCAGTGCACCCCCTGCAAAAAGTGCCACCCACACTACCAGTGGCGCCTGCGGACAGTTGCTGCTCACCAACCCCTTTCCCCCCTCGCTGCCAACACCGCCAGCAGCACCTGCAAACGGCCTCTGATTGCCACTGGCAACTGCCAGCGGCATCTGCGGGTGAACACCGACCGCTGGTCAGAGCTCACCACCGACACCACTACAGCTGCCTGCAGAAGCTCGCCCCCACCTCTGCCTGTGTGCGGTTGCTGTGCCCCCCGAGCCTCCAGGGGCACGCAGCAGTCATGGACTTTGACAAGCTTTCAAATGTAGTACATTCTTTTTTTAGGCACTACAGTGCATTCAAAAGCTTGTCCAAGTCTAGCCCAACCTTACAGACGGTCTAAAAAAGATAACACCTGCAAAAATCCTTGCCAGCTGCGAAGTAGAAATTTTCTGTTTGTCCACATAGAAATTGAACTGGGAAGGGATGACAGAGACAGGGAATAGTCCTTATCTATCCTTGATAATATTTCTAGCCAGATAGTTAAGAAGAAACTCTTCTGCTGTAACTGTTATGGGGAATCGTTTCCCCAGTGACTAGAAAAACTATTTTATTCATAACTTAACTCTTGTCTGTGGGAGCAAATGGGTGTGTCCTGTGCTGCTTGATGGGAAAGTCCTATTCTGTAATTTATTTTAAGATGGAATATTTTACTTTACTCAGTAGAGGAAATGCATCATAAAGGCCATGGTATGGCGATAATTAACTGCTTGTTCTTGTTAGTAACATACAGCAGATTATGGCTAGCAGTCTTTTGTATCAACGACTGTGAGTATATGGAGCCAACTTTGCCCTGGAAATTCCCGCTGTACTTTTCATCTGTATTTGAGGTGTATCATTAGTAAGCATCTGTGTTTGATTTATAACTCAAAGTAACATTACCTGGATAAAACCACCTTCACGTGTCATAGTCTGGAAACCTAGTCTGTAACCTCATCACCCCTTCTTGTGAAGGGCTTAATCAAAAAGTTTTTTGAAAGTACAAATTAATTTTTGAGCATTCTTCAGTTACCTGTTATTTTATTGGCATGCTGTTTTCTAGCATGTTGAAGAGACATCGTTTTTTGTTTTGGTTTGTGTGTTTGGATTTTTACATGACCCTCCTGCTTGGTCCCTGTTACATTATCCCAATATTTGTAATTGTTTTTAATTATCAAATTGCCTAGTTTACCTGATACTGAAGGTAAAGCACCTTGGCTATCGTTCTTGGGTCACGCTAAATGTCTTTTTTTAAAGATAAGTATACAGTATATACAGTTTATCTTTCATTTGTTGCCTCAGTAGCTGTTTGAATGAGAAATGGCATGTTTTTGTGAGCAACTCAGACCCTTCTTATAGACCTATCAACTATACTGTGGCTTGATTCTATGGATATGTAAAGAACACAAAGTATGTTTCACATGGTGCAATCAGCCCCTGAAGAAACAAAGATGGGAGAGTCGTTTGATATGGTGGAAAATGCATGTAGTTTAAGTGTGGTAGAAGAAAAGAGCAATAGTAACTGCTACTCCTCAGTCTCAGGAAACATGGACATATCTGAAAAGATCTAAACAAAATGGGCAATTTTCAGTTGAAATTAGATGAGACTGAAGAAGAAAGAACTTGAAGTATTGAGGTGAGTAATGCCATTCATGAATGTTACAAAGAGAGCCTATGTCATGTCAGGCTATGTAAATCAGAAAAGGCTTTTGAAGCTTCAGTAAATAATAATACCTCTTTGTAAACATAAACCTGGAAAATAGTTCTTTGGTTGCTGTGGTTTAAAAATTAAATAAAGTACAGAGCAGGCAGCAAGGTGGTTTCTAGCATTTGAAAAAAACAGTTCTAGAAGGAGTCAAGCAAGTTGATGCCAGGGATGAATTTGGCTGAATGTGCTCAGCCTCAGAAAACCATCTCATATATTTTGCTTAATTCAAATCCATTACTATTTTGTTTTCACAAGAAACAATGCTGACTTGGGTAATGGGACTTTTGATCTGGATTGTTGCAAGGAAGGAGGCAAATGGATTGGCTGAACAGCTCGCAGGCTGTAACACCACACGTGCTATATCTTGGAAGTTCTGGACAGAGTTCAGTGCCATTGTATCCATTATCAGTAGTCTAAAACATAATGATGTCTCTTTAGCCGTGGTGTGTGTAATTTATGAAAGTAAAGTTGTTGATCTGGTTAAGTAAATGTATTCCAACTGCAGTTACAACAATGGCCTCGTTTGTTAAATGGCACAGCCATTATAGCACAACTATGCACACAAAAGATAGAGCATATCACATGGGGCTTCTTACAGGAGAATTTGACCAGGCCCTATCCCCTTACGAAAAGGGAGGTGTCAAACTTCTAATGGCAATCTCCAGATGGAATAATCCTCTGGTAAAAGTATACTATGCAAACAGCATGGGAATCTCTGTAAATAATGTAGACGTACAGCACTACCCTAGTGTTCGTCTGATAACAGAAACAGGGTTAGAAGTCAGTCGAACAGTAGATGGTGGCTCCAAGTGCTTTGCTTCTGTGAGTGCCAATAGCACAAAAAAGCTTGGTCCAGTTGGTGCAAAAAAAGATAGTTAATGAAGCAGTATGAATAAAAAATGTGGTATGTGGCTTGGGATAGTCCCGTTTTATGATTCAGGGAAAAACTTGTCCAGGAAACAGAAGGATTCTGCCTGAGCTTAACAAGTACAATTCAAATCAGGACCTAACACATTCTTGCCAATGAGCAATGCAAGCACTCTGAGTTTATCACTGCCCAACGATATAAGGGATTTGATGATTGACGTGTTTCTCCCCCACACACAGAGTGACATCTATACATACAAGGTCTATCTAGTAAAACACACAAACCACAGCTATTCTCATTCGACAAAAAAATTCAGAAGATAAATAGGATATCAGAATAGGGAAAAATGCCCCAGTAGACAATCCCAAAAAATAGTACTGTTCATCCAGTAGACAAAACACTAAGTTTGGTGTTAATGACAATACAGGAAGTGACTGCAATTTTGTTAATTGGGATGTGCTGCTATCTGCATCACGTACATCAGAAAGTCAGATTGCAGAACCAGATTGGAAAGGAATTAGCTTTGGCTGTAAACAAAGGTGAAGCAACCAATGATACCCACCTTATTAAATACTGATGCTTATTTGCTAATCATTGCTATTGTATTATGCTTTGTAACATTGTACAACAACGAAGCACCATTGATCAGTTGTTACTCGATTGGGTTATGTGTACATGAAGTTTTCTTCCTCATCAGAAAGTACAAACTATGCCAAAACCAGTAAAACAAAGTGGCAGGAATCGCCATCTATTATTTACTGGACTGTTGAACCAAAACCATGAAACTGTAGTGAATAGGTAATAAATTTAAAAAAAAAACAATGGTGATGTTACTGCATAAAAAGCAATCCTTGTGGAGGATTCAGGAATTGGATATGTCTTTTGTATTACAGGTTCTCTATGCACAATTTTTTTTTCTAGTCCTTAGAAATCTTTGTTTTCTATCCGTGCCAAAATTTTAAGGGCTTTGCTAATTTGATTTTATTTTTAAGTTTAGCATTATTAAACATTGTTAGCAAATTTAATAACATTCCACTTTTTTGCTTAAGCACCCTTTTAAATAGCATGTTCTGAGCAGAGTTTGAAAAAAATGTCTTTCCCCTGGTTTGCATCAACACTTCAGTGCCAGTCATGCCACGGCGCACTTCTTTTTTTTTAAATTTGTACAATGTTTTCTTCCCATTTAATTTAATTTTGCTGCTACTTTTACTAGTTCACAGCCTAGTGAAGGGCTTTGAGGGAAGGCATGTCATCCACAAGGCAGTGAAATTGGCTATCCCATGAATCTTGCCAAATGTACAAATTAAAATGACAAAGCTAATTATATTTTTATCTGATTTCTTTTCTCATCATTTAACATATTACTTAAATAACAATAGTGCAAATATTAGGATGGAAATAAGTTGATGGTGCCTCAAATCTTGTTCATCTAGAAGTTATGCAGTTAAAAATATTTAGGCCATCATTCTTTGAATTGGCAAGTTAGGTCACTTGAGAAACATCTTAGGAAGTAATCTTTCTGGTCATGTTCAGGTAAGCTGAATCCAGGACAGTATTACAGACCAATACTCTAGACAGGTGTGATAAACAAGAGGATCAATACCTTAATAAGCACTAAATAAGTACTGTTTTCATGAATAATAAAACCCTTCCCCATTCTCATTTTTACCTTTTCTTGCCTTTCATCCCCAGCCCAAAGAGCCGATTGATTCAATTAAAGAAAGAAAAGCTAGAATACACTCCTGGAGAGCATGAACATGGGTTGTTCCCAGCCCCCATTCATGTTGGTGAGTTCTTCATATGTTCTTTATTGCTGGTGGGGAAAGGTGCCATTTCTTAGGTGGGGTTAAACTGTTCTGTTTGGATTTTTTTGTTTGAACAGAATTGTCTCAGAGTCTGACCAAAGCAAATTATGCTTCTGTGCTTAGTTGGTTAGTGATTTCTTTCTTTTGTATGAATTAATGTGGCTGTGTTGCACAATTGCATTGTGTCCTTGGAGGCTCAGGTTTAGCATGCAGTGCAGTGATCTTGTTCGTTCTTGCTGTGAGGCCACGACTTCCAGTTTATTTGTACCAGCAGACACAAACAAACTTCTGCAATAAGGATAAGGCTGCTTTAATTACTCTGTATTGGGGAGCTGGAGAGTGGCTTAACTACAGAATAGAATTACAAGGTTTAATTCTCTGCCAAATAACTTTACTAGTGCCTGCTTAATGAGGGCTAGGGAATGTTCCATAGTCTCTAGGCTCATTGCCAGGGTACTTGAAAGAGCCTTTTGTTTCACCCAGCGAGGTTGTAGCAAATTCCCAACAGATTTAGCTGTTTCCTAGAACCGTCTGTGGATAAATAAAACTTTAAAAATAAGAACTAATTTAAGAGCAAGTTGTACAGAAAACATTAGACTTATTTTTTTCCAGTTTTCTCACTCACAGAGGTATGCATGTGAACCTAAAGGCATACGAAGGGGTTTGTTTAGGCCCAGGAAGGCCATGAGATGATGGTATAGGGTTGACTTCAACTTCAGATCTGTGCAAAAATGTCCCAACAAAATGTTAAGACTGCATTTAACTAAACATATCCTGGTGTCTTTGGTGTCAAATCATGACACTTGGGTAGCCAAGTTCATAATGGCCTATTTCCTCCTCTAAGGGAGGAAGGAGCACTGGAGATGAAGGCTGCATCCTGCTGTGAGTGGCAAGACCCAGCCTGCACCAACAGCTATGAACCACTTCTGAAAACTTAGTTCAGCCCTAGGTCACCTGACACACTGTCAAGACTAGTCTGATCAAGTCTGTGCTTAGCATTTTCAGTACTAGTTAATGGGAACTGAGTTTTTTTTAATAATGTTCAATGCTGTTGAGTTTGGTAGAATCATAGAAAATTAGGGCTGCAAGGGACCTCTGGAAGTCGCATCTAGTCCAGCCCCCTGGTCAAAACAGGACAATCCCCAACTAAATCATCCCAGGCAAGGTTTTGTCAAGCCAGTTCTTGAAAACTTCTACCACCTCTGTAGGTAACCCATTCCAGTACTTCACCACCCTCCTAGTAAGAGAGTTGTTCCTAATATCCAACCTAAAACTCTATTGCTGCAACTGGAGCCCATTGCTCCTCGTTCTGTCATCTACCACCACTGAGAACAGTCCAGCTCCATCCACTTTGCAAGCACCCTGCAGGGAGTTGAAGGCTTCTATCATATCCCCTCTCAGTCTTCTCTTCTCAAGACTAAATAAGCCCAGTTCCCTCAATCTCTCTTCAAGTCATGTTCCCCAGCCCCCAAGCCATCTTCATTGCCCTCCACTGGACTCTCTCCAAAGTGTCCACATCCTTTCTGTAGGGGTGGAGGAGCACAACTGGACACAGGACTCCAGATGTGGCCTTACCAGTTCAAATGGAAGGGAAGAATCATTGTCCTCGATCTGCTGGCAGCGCTTCTACCAATGCAGCCTAGTATGCTGTTAACCTAAATCCTTCTAGACTCAGAGAAGGCGAGTGTGTCAAACCTTACTTGAGATTTCCTAATTAGAAAGAGCCAGTGAATAACATATGACATAGCTCCCCTCTTCATCTTCCAGTCATATAGCTGTTCAGATTTGTAGTATGTGTCCTCCACAAACTGTCTGATGCTAGTTGACTTAGGAAGTTCAGTGACGTCATTTCTTATATAGAAATGATAGAATGGGCTGCAGATACACTCTGAAGTAATGTACGTTAAATTTTATTCAGGTCACTTTTGCTGCTTAAGAAAGAAAAAGTGTTATGAAGATACGGAGCTAGAGGTCAGAGAACCCTGCAGTTCATGGAGAGATGTAATTGCTTTTAGGGAATCACTGCTCTCTAGCAGAGCAGAGCTAGTAAAAAGAGCCATTTGCCGTCTCAGCAGCAGTTTTAATGCTCACTTTGGTAAAATATGTAGGAAACAAAATTAACCTTTGTGAGTAGGTCTGGTGGGATATGACATACTGTAAACTAGAATGGTTACTAAATAATGCCATTCACTTCCTATTACCATATTTTTAATAAACTCACTAGTATTATCCATCTCAGAAGAGCTGTATGCCATGGTTATGGCATACTGAAAAACTCGGCTGACTCTTACAAGCACCCATCTGAGTACTAATTTGGCAGATATTCCAGAGGAGCAGTCAGAAGAACAGTCAGCATCAGCTGTTTGTTTTGTAGACATATCAGACTGAATGGAAGCCCATTTTTAACCCTACCCTGTTTTCCCTACTTCAAGGGCAGTGGTCCATAGATCAGAAAATTTCACTCTAAATTAGGCCAGGAACCAGTCCTGTATAGTCCTTGTGTTTAAAAATGTTATACTGAAATCTCGTGTTAATATATTTATATGGAGAAACAACAATAAGAAGACTTATTTGCAGTTGTACATAATTTGGGGACAGGGAGTAGTGAAAAGCAAATACCAGTGTAAATCTTCACCTGAATGATAGCTGTGGAAATACCTTACAGAAAGGAACTGTTAGTGCACTGTGGGGTGCAGAACATCAGCAGTTCACCATTATATACAGTGTCCCTTAGTAATATAATTGCAAACATTAGTGTGCAAAATATGGCAATAGCAAAACAGCCCTCTTATTAGGGAAAATTGATTTTTTGAAGATTACAAAGCAAGTCTTTTTATATCTGTAAAGTGTGTTCTGCTCCTCCAATCACTCACTCGATAGCGACTCTTAAGAGCATGCCTGCAGGGATTCTGGCATCGCTGTTAGGATTTTTGCAGTTAGTATTAGAATTTTATGATGTTCTTAAGGATCAGTCATCAAAGTGCAACTTAAGACCCCTCCTCCTTACCCCAGTTTCTCTCTTGCACCCACACCAGCAAGCCATTCTCGTAACTACAAGTACAGTTTGTGACCCTTCTGAATAGACAGCTATTCACTCAGTACCCATAAAATCAAGCCTAGCTGTGACAGTACTGTAAAGTGCCAGAAACACTAGCATTTTGTGGTCCTTTTGGAGTGTTCTTTACGGACATGTTTCTTGTGCTTCCCCTGATAAACAAAATGTTCTTTGAGGATTCTGCTATTCTGCCTTTGTGGCTTGCTAGGACTGAGGTGCCCTGTCAAAATTATGGCTCTGTGCCCATGTGTTCTTGTATGTGAATACGAGCATATGACTTATAAACCTTTTTTTTTTTTTTTTTTTAGGAAAGTATCTGAGACAAAAGAGAATAGACTTCCAGCTGCCTTATGACATCCTCTGGCAATGGAAACACAATCAGGTACAAAATAAAAATGTTACTAGGTGCCAAGATAGCATTCACAACCAGTGAAAAGAGGAAAAACAGATCTCTTATGCCAAGCCACATTTATATTTTTTGAGTATTGATAAATATTTTTGTTTATTTTAGTGACTGAGAAAAAAGTATTTGTGTATATATTTAATGTGGACAATTTCCATTTTTCCCTCCCTTGCAAAATAGGAGCAGTTCAGTTGGTTTCTGAGACAGCCAATCTTTATTTTTGCTGACTTTTATTTTGGTAGGCTACATACTTTCTGGAGGGATCTTGTTTTAGACGCGCCTTGGGAGAATTCAGATGTACTGCCAACAACACTGAGAAATTTCAGACGTTATTTTTCTTGGATCTGTCCCAGCAGAGGGGAATTTATTTTTCACTTGCAAGCTGAAATTTTCATATTGCAGGAACTGGAGAAAGTGTTTAACGGTGGCATTCTTTTTAAAGAGCTTTAAATATGTGCAAGCCTAAAAATAGGGATTTTTTTTTCTTGAGAAGTTTCCACCAGTAATTTAACACTGCATTTAACGCAGGAGGGTAAAACCATCCCCAGCTCTGCAGAAAGGAATGAGCTCTAAGAAATGTAACCTAACCATGTAAATGATTGTAACCAATTTCCAAGATGGCTCTGGTTCCAGGCATTCATCAGAAAGCTACCATATCTAACCTTAACACAGCAAAAGTTGTTGATATTCTAGTGGTGCAGAGTTTCTGGTAATGGCCTGAAAACAATTTATTTATGTCCATTTTATTATGTAATTATAACATAATACTTCACTATAATTACTATTCATTAGATAATTTAACATTATTTGATGTATCTATTTGCTTATGTGTTCCTTAGCCAATATAGGAACACTGATTATAAAATCATTTTGTTATACGATTTGTCCGTCACATTTAACATTGAAGAGTGTTATTAGTAGAACACATGCCCATGCAAGTAAATCATCATGTTTATTTTAAAACTTGTTTAAGAGAAGAAGTTATTTGCTGTTGCACATAGAATTATGCTGCAGTCTCCTTCGGCAAGAGTTCAAATCATAAATACGCAGCAATATTAATCCATCTTCCCTCTGGTCTTCTCTGAATGTAGCAAAATAATTAAGTGATGGGTTTTGATTATTCTCTTCTTTTTGCTTATTTCATTGTACTATCAATATGTTACAGTGCTGCTAAATCTGATGCCATTCTGCAAAGTGACTTTAAATAAGTTTTCTTCAGTGCTAAGAAATAATAATAATACCCCAAATGGTTGAAAATTAGCTTGCCCCCATGGATTTTCAGGCAACATGGGGGGTGCAAACCAATTAGGGAAAGTTGCTTACTGAGCTCTTTAACCAGGCATTCTGTTTAAATACATTTTAACCACTCCTCTGATGCTCCCTTGCAGAGAAATAGCATGAACCTAAGAGAGAGTTATTTGTGTATATTTTATCTAGTAATTAATATAAGCATTCTCCATGTAAAACTTGTCCATTTCTGTTATCTCTGAATGGCAGCTGCAGTTTTGCAATATATTAAGAATCTATTTTTCTTTCTTCTAGCTGTATAAAAAGCCAGATGTCCCACTTTACAAAAAAATCCGTTCTAGTAAGTAATTTTTTTTTTAAATTTTTGTTATTTCTATAATGCAGCACTTCTTAACCAGGGGGTGGGCCTCAGCATCCTGAAGTGCTGCAAGATCCTTTTAAGGGTGCTGTACAATAACAGCATGATTAAGTATACAAACACCTACATGTGAGTCACAAAATAATTTCAGAGATCTCAAATAGAATTCCATAGTGTCAAAAATATTCTAATCTGTTGTAGTCTTTCTGAGTTCTTTGCAACAGAAGAAGTTCTGTATTATGTCTACATAGTAAAAGAAATGAGTGAAAACTACAGGCTGGCATTTTCTGAAGCAGCCTGGAGACTAAAAAGGTTGAGAACCACTGCAATAATGCATTAATGGAGATGTACCTATTATATAAGCTGCATCATTATGAAACTTCTACATGAGATCTACTTTTCCATCTCCTGTTTTTCTCTGTCCTATCCAAGCCCCTTCCCACCTTCTCTTCTGATCTGTCACTTGGGTGGAAACATTTTAAATAGTTCTGTGTTTGTGAGGAAAAAATATTTTCCCTTTTTCCCTCCCCTCCCTCTTTCCAGATGTCTATGTTGATGTTAAGCCTCTTTCTGGCTATGAGGCTACAACCTGCAACTGTAAGAAACCAGATGACGACAATGGAAAGGGCTGCGTAGAAGACTGTCTTAACAGGTAAGAAATATCTTAACTGAGCCCAAGGGAATTCCCTAAAGAATCTGTTTATCCTAGGCTGATATTTTTGTAAAGAAAGTATTTTGATAGGTGTGATCAGGATCTCAACAACTTGAAATGATTCCAGTGCAAGAAAATATGAATGCAAAAGCAGGCAGAATAGTGTACTAGCTACTGCTCGAGTGATAAAAGAGTTTTTATGTGCATGTGCATCCTTGCTCTCACTGTCCAGATGGGAGCGCTTTCTCTGGGTTGGCTTTCACCTGTGCCATGGGCAAAGCTTTTACAACCTCATCTTTATTCCATGAGCCACAATAGAAATCTGTTTCTGGAAATCCTTTGGATGCAGTTTAGTTTGAGGACAGGAAGGATTTTTTTCAGTTGTTGTGAGAGTAGACTTCTTTGGTAAACTGTTCAGAAAAGAGTAGTTAGTGATGGAACAAGGCATAAGTGAAGCTTGAAAAAGGCAGCTCAGTAGAGGAAGGAAAGTATGAAGAAAGAACAGGAATCCCAGGAGAAACAGAGTACGTAGTCATTACTGCAAAGAGAAGAGCCAGGAAGAAAGTAAGAACAGAAATACAGTATAGGGAATTTGATCTCATCCAAGTTATCAGAATTGCTTACTGTGTGCAAGGGCATGAGATTTCTCCAACCTTGGGAAACTTAAGAGCTCGCTTTCTCATTTTTTATCATAACTGAACCAAGTTTATTTGTGAAAGTTTTTAATCTCTTGAGTGCTAAGCACAACTCTAGAAATCTGCATAAAGTCTAGGTTACCAGACAGATTGCACTTAAAAAAAAAAAACCCAATAATTTAGTTATATCTTCAAAAGTATCCCCACAAGGTGTGAAAAGACAGGGGTTTTCTGTTCCTATCTCCCAAGTGACATATCTGCAGCTTACTCAGACTATTTGAAATATTACCATAGTGTCCACTACCCACTCAGGTTCAGACCTGTATTACAGCATCACAGGAGGAATTCAGATGGATCATTGTACCAGAACTGTTCCTTCTCGTCCCAGAGATAAAACCATCCATAATCTTCTTCGCCAGGATTAAAACTATAACATTCTCCCAAAATTAATTTTGGGAGGTTGGGAAACTATGAGAACTGGAAAAAAAAGAATTGTTCGCATGTATAGTAGATATCCAAAGATCAGTAAAGAGGTGCCACTTCTTAGCCAATTAAAAAAAAAAATCTTAGTCTTATTTTCCTCTACACAGTGAGTTTCCATTGAAGTTCTTATGTATGAAGTTATATTGGTAAAGGAGACTAGAGGGTTAGGCATGGACACAATTGAAACTGTTGTTTATTGGTATAAAACTAGGGCACATAGTGTTTGAGGGGACTGATTACAGGTAAAGCTAGTCCAGGAAATAGGTTTACCACTTCAGGAGAAGTTTCAGCTCTTAAAAAAGATTGTTGATCCCAAATCAGGATGAAAATCTTCATAAACCAGCAATTTCGGGGGGGGGGGGGGGGGG